CGCTCAATTTTCAGGGACATTTTGACATATATCCCAACTTATGGGGGTATTTGGCCAATTACCACCCCCCCAAAAAAGGCCAACGGCATCTTCTCGACATTTGGAGGAAGATCTGGCAGTCCTCTCTCTCTCTCTCTCTCTCTCTCTCTCTCTCTCTCTCTCTCTCTCTCTCTCTCTCTATCTATCTATCTATCTATCTATCTCGCGCGCGTGTGTACGTGCACGCCCCTCTCTCTCTCTCTCGCGTGTGTGCGTGCACACCCCCTTGTGCAACCTCGTCCCCCTATCGTGACGTCCTCGTCCTCCCTCACGACCCCCTCCCGCTCGCACGAAATCCTCCCCCTAGCACGACCTCCTCCTTCCCTTGCCGCATGACCTCCTGCAACCTCTCTTCCCCAGCGTGTGACCTGCTCCTACCCTTGCACGGCGTCCTCCTCCCCCTCGCGCCACCTTCTCACACCTCCCTTCCGACCTCATCCAGATCCTCCTCCTCCTTACGCCACCTCCTCTTCCCGCTCATGTCTCCTCGTCCGGCCTCCTCAAACCACTCGCGCGACCTCCTCCAACCTCCCTTGCGACCTCCGCTGCAACCTCTCGTCCACCTCGTGCGAGCTGCTCCTCCCCCTCTTCCGACCTCCTCCTCTCCCTTGTGCCACCTCCTCCTCCCCTTTGTGCAACCTCTTGCTTGTCCTTGTGCGAACTGCTCCTCCCCCTCCCACTCCGTCTTCCAATCTCATCCTCCCCTTAATGCAACTTCCGTGCGACCTCCTCCCCCTCGCGCGACCTCCTCCTACCCCTCGCGCCACCCCCTCCTCCCCCTCGTGCGACATCCTCCCTCTCTTCCGACCCTCCTCCCCTCGCACGACCTCCTAATCCTTGTGCGACCTCCTCCTCCATTCACACATCATCTTCCCCCTCCTCATCCACCTCGCACGACCTCCTCCCACCTCTATTCCGACCTCCTCCCCCCTCCGCAACGTCCGCTTCCCCTCGCACGACCTCCTCCTTGTGCTACCTCCTCCTCCCCCTCGTGCCACCTCCTCCAATCTCTCTTCCTACCTCCTCCCCCTTGTGCGATGTCGTTCTTCCCCTCTTCCGACCTCCTCCTCCCGCTTGCACAACCTCCTCCTCCTGCTTGCACAACCTCCTCCTCCCCCTCACACGACCTCCTCCTCCCCCTCGCACGACCTCCTCCTCCCACTCTCCGACTCAACCTCCCTTGCGACCTCCGCTGCAACCTCTCGTCCTCCTCGTGCGACCCGCTCCTCCCCCTCTTCCGACCTCCTCCTCTCCCTTGTGCCACCTCCTCTTCCCCCATGTGCAGCCTCTTGCTTGTCCTTGTGCGAACTGCTCCTCCTCCTCCCACTCCGTCTTCCGATCTCATCCTCCCCCTAACGCAACCTCCGTGCGACCTCCTCCTCCCCCTCGCGCGACCTCCTCCAACCCCTCGCGGTACCCCCTCCTCCCCCTCGTGCGACTTCCTCCCTCTCTTCCGACCCTCCTCCCCTCGCGCGACCTCCTAATCCTTGTGCAACCTCCTCCTCCATTCACGCGTCATCTTCCCCCTCCTCATCCACCTCGCACGACCTCCTCCCACCTCTATTCCAACCTCCTCCCCCTTGCGCGATGTCCGCTTCCCCTCACACGACCTCCTCCTTGTGCGACCTCCTCCTCCCCCTCGTGCCACCTCCTCCAATCTCTCTTCCTACCTCCTCCCCCTTGTNCGACCTCCTCCTTGTGCGACCTCCTCCTCCCCCTCGTGCCACCTCCTCCAATCTCTCTTCCTACCTCCTCCCCCTTGTGCGATGTCGTTCTTCCCTTCCCACCTCCTCCTCTCGCTTGCACAACCTCCTCCTCCCACTTGCACAACCTCCTCCTCCCCCTCGCACGACCTCCTCCTCCCACTCTCTAACGGCGCCCGAATAGTAGCATGCGTGCCACCCCGCACCCACGCAAAAAAGTTCGCAGGCCCGCACACGGGCCGCACTTTCACACCGTGGCCTGCAGCACCCTTCTCCCCTTGGCCCGCCCTTTTTCCCTCGCCCAGGGCCTCAACGAACCACCACGGCCAAATCCCACGCGCCATGGTCTCTATCAGGCCTGCGGTACTGCCGCGAAACGCCGCACCTTTATTCCCTTGCCCCGGGCCTCCACGAAACGTCGCGCCCGCTTTCCTCGCCCAAGTCCCGCGACCCTCCAGTCCGATTTTCGCTGGGCCCGGTGGGACGCGTCACGCTGGGCCCTTTGCTTGCTTTAGGAGTACATATGGACCCGCCGCAGCCAGCTGCGGCCAAGGAAAGGGACGAACAGGGGGGCGGGGCTGTTGTTGTCACAATGCTTGGGCATTTTTTTTAATTTTGTTTTTGTGTCGTCATATTCGTTATTTTCCGACTGATCAGGAGGTTGTGTGTGTGTGTGTGTATGTGCGTGTGTGAGAGAGAGAGAGAGAGCCACTCTCTCTCTCTCTCTCTCTCTCTCTCTCTCTCTCTCTCTCTCTCTCTCTCTCTCACATCCTGTAAATGGAAGTAGCCTCTCTCTATTTGTCTGCGTGCATGGATGGAAAACTCTCTCTCTCTCTCTCTCTCTCTCTCTCTCTCTCTCTCTCTCTCTCTCTCTCTCTCTCTC